GAGGTTGCTCTTGGAAGCCATTTATAGTACAGAAATGGCATTCCTGAGGTAGAGCACTTGTTTTTCAATCACAAAATTCAGTTCGTAGCAGTTCCAATAATAAAAGCTAGATAGCAGACGATAACAAAGGTTTCTTTTGGAAGTCCTGGACAGTTGCCACCACGGTACAAAAGTCTGATCTGGAACCTCACATCTGTACGTTCCAGAGACACACATTGGAGAGGGTCAGTTAGAGATTCTAATGGTAACACATCTCATTGCCAGCGTTATGATTAAAAATTATCAGTCTGAAAATGGAAAATTTGGCTCCTGACCAACTCAAATCTGACTATTAAAAAAAAAATAGTTACAATAGTGGCCAAACTAAGGTACATCCCGAAAATTAATCGGGTTCTCTCCAATTTGTGTCCATCATTGATGCAGAGACTTCCAGCTCCTAGAACTGTCAACTAGGAGGTTCAGGCCACTTTTTGGAATGTAGTCCCAAAGCAGCTGAATGGCATCAGGTTGGGAAAGGCTAAATTAAACTGCCATCGCTAAGCAGTGCCATCATGGGTTGTCTTTAAGGACTGCTTTATTTAGTGACAGAAATTCCAGTGCCAGATAGGGTCATTAAGCAACAATTACCTGTAGTTTATAATCTATGGGTTATAATGCACAAGGAAGGGAAAATAAGCTGTTCTGCTATAATCTGATGCACAGATTCTCCACAGGTATGATCTGCCTTACCTCCTGTTCCTCACTGAAGAGCTCAAACATATTCTCCATGTCAATAAATGAGGACTGGATCATTCTGGAAAGAAAAAGCAGAAGCTCCATTGCACCAAAGTAACCAAGCTATGAAGGTTTCAGAAAAGTAAAGGGCATGAAACAGACAAGTACTTATATTCAAATACAGCAATCTTTTATACCTTAAGCATGAACACAAGCCCCATCACTCCCAGAGCTTTAACACATAGTAAATCATCTCACGCCTTTTTAAAAATATCTTTGATGGGAGAAGTGTAAAGGAGAGGGCAACTTAAATGATTACAAGCAACAAACTTTTTTTTTTATGAAATAGACATATAATTCCTACAGCTGCATTTTATTTTTTAAGTCTGAGCTCAGCTTTCTAGGCATGAGAAATTTTAATTATAATTCCTTTCATTGCTGGACTTGTAGAATTATTCATGCAAAAGGAATTAATATAAGAAAATATTTGTACTTGAATAAAACATAATATATTACTTAATACCTTTCTATGACATGATTACTTTTCAATAACTAATTTTTGGTAACTAGTTATCGAACTTTATATTTTGCTAATTATCAAGATTTTTCTTCATGTTGATTAAACAACGAGCCCAGTGTAAAAAAGCTGAAATTGCATACAAGGGAAACATTAATTTGTACTTAGTTTAATTGTCTTTTAACTCGAGGCAAGGATCCAACCTTGCTTGCAATATACTGTATTCTGATGAGCTTCCTTTCCTACAAGATTAACAAACTCTGTTATTGTATCCTTAAATTTTAAAATAAATCTGTATTTCAGCAATTCGACTAATTCCTCTTTTATGTCAGGCATTTCAGAAATGGATACATTTCTATTTGCTGTCAGTCTCTGTAAAAGTGTTAGACAAATGCTATGCACAAGAGTCACGATGGGCACAAAACAGACTGCTACCAACTGCCAGGTAATCTGAAATAGATTAGCAACATTTTTCATTTAGCTTTTCTCTTTAGAGTAATGGTGGGGAAACCTTGCTGGAAAGGTTTTTTTTTTTAGTAGGGTGAACATAACAAGAGTTGCTTGTTTTTTGAGCTGGGTGGCTATATAAATTTGTCAACAAATAAACAAAAAGCTTGAATGCATCCTTAATTCTTACACCGTTCGTCTAAGGTGCTCATCTAACCCGGTCCCTGTTGACAGTTCTGTTTATTCCTGGTATAGGTATTATTATTAGATTCAGATTAATAGTTCTTTTCTTGTTATAAGAAAATTGAAATCTGAGAAATAAGATATTTCTTATTTGCTGATTGGAGCAGGCTGTAAAGCAAATAACAGTATAAAGCCAGTTTACCTCTCCAAGTTCATCGACCCACTTCTCTTTGCGTCACCCACAAATGGCTAATAAATATACAGAAAAGTAGCCTACCAATGAAATTACCTGTAATATGTGCCAAACCAATTCAGTGGAGTATACAGCTGAATAATGTATGTGCCAAAGAGAACATAATCGCCTACCTGGAGGAAATAGGAAGAATATATCCATTTTTGCAATAACAATTGTTCCTCCCATACATTCAATGGGGAGTTTTCAAATGCAGATTCACATGATGAATCCTGAAGATCAAGTGTCCAAGACCCCTATTAGCTCTACGTCCCTTGTCTTTTGTTCAATGAAAGTGACATTTGTCACTTGATTTTTTAAAAATGTTGAATATCTCAAATTTATAATTCAGAGGATTATAAGTTTGAGATATTCAACATTTTTAAAAAATCAAGAGAAAATGTCCTATTTATGTTCAGAGAATAGAAATTCAAACATCAAATATTCTATTGAAGCAGAGTGATTGACCTGAGATGAAACCATGTGCAAATATATACATTTCTGCTCTGTGGTTCGTTAAAAAAAGAATAAGCCCCCCTTTGAATGTA